ATGTAAGCTACAAGATAATAAAGTCATATGGCTAAGTTTTTAATACTGAATCTAGTTCCATTACAATGAAAAAAACTAGACATGCACACCTGAATTCAAGCTCTCCATTTCAATCTCCATAAAATGTTGAGCAATGTCAGCTGCTGGACTTCGAACAAGAGAGCTGAAGAACGATGAATGAGAGCTACTGGACGTTTCCGATGAACGAGAGCTGAGAGACGATGAACGATGAACGAGAGCTGCTGGACGATTTCTGAACGAGAGCTGAAGATCTGAAGGACGATGAACGAGATAGCTGCTGGACAATTTCACGATTGAAAGCTGCTGGACGAATGAACGAGAGCTGATTATTGTGACTGTTGGGTTGCCTGAGTCGTAAGATTGCATGGGGAAATGGAGAACTCAACAGAAGCATTAATTACCTCTCTTGGGTGCTGTTTATTTTACCAGATTACCTCACGCAGGTTTAATCTCAGCCATTGGATGAATCTAGATCCAATGGAGAGAGAGGTTTTAGTTTTTAGGATAGCGAGTTTGTATTTGAACCTTTTCTCCATATATATATATATATATATTATATTATATATATATATATATATATATATATATACAAATTTACATTGTCTTATTTTTCACATTCTAGTATTCAAAATTATATATATATATATATATATATATATATATATATCATATATAATATAATATATAGTATAGTATAAAGTAACTATATAGTATATTATATATATATATATATATATATATAATATATATATTATATATATATATATATATATATATTATAGTATATTATATATAATAATATATATATATATATTATATGGGAGAGGTTCTAATAAAAACTCTAGAGAACTAAAAACAATCCTAACCGCCTACAATTCTATTTCATCAATGGCAGATTGAAAATGGTCAGGATTGAAAATAAATGCCAAACAGTTGACAAATACAGCTAAAGAGGGGTAATTTTAGAAAAGACGGCGATTGATATGAAACCGGCTCGTAATTATTACGAAAATACGGCGGCACACTTTTTCTCGACCGGAAAAAAACGATCAGTTCTACGTATTTTTGATACAGGTTTCATCTTCTCTCTACGCGAAGCAACTAAAGCTCTTCAACATTTCCGTGCGATTTCGTTCCACACTTAGTTTCTTCGAACATCTCATATACGAACCAACGACGAAAGACGAAAAGCAAGAACTTCGCACGATAGAGATGAAGAAAGCAACTCCGAACACTCCAAAACCTCTCGTCTTCCAGAAGGGGTAAAACATTCAAACCCATTGTATTAAAAAATTTATATTTTTTATCAAAGTTTGAATATTTTGCATAGATTCAGTGAGTAAAGGTTCCGGAATTTCGACAGTAATTAACTTGGCATGTTTGTGAATTACTTTTTTTGACATGATAAATGTTATGGCGATTGCATGTTCTATTTTAGGGTTTAAAATTTTTCAACTTTACCTTTGATCTTGTTAGAATAAGTCAAGTTTTTTTATATTGTAGTTGTTTCATGTTGTTCTAAATGGATAGCCGGTAAATATTTGTGGTCTGGATTATGCAATATGCACTCTAGTTGAATCTACTCGATTGTCAGTTGAGTGGATCGAGATTCACGTGGTTGATATCTATTCGAGTTCAGTGTGAGTGACCCATCTGCGTCATTCACTGTGAAATCGGCTCGATTTCAGTTTTGTAAATCACGATTAGTTTTGTAAATCACGCATTCAGTTGAGTGATCGTTCGAGATTCACTGGGTGAATCTACACGAATTCAAGTTGAAGTGAATCGCGATTCACTGCGGGGTGACGAGCTCGATTCAGTTTGTAAATCACGTTCATTGTGTGAAATCTACTCCGATTCAGTTAGGAAATGAGGGTTTTAAATTTACTGTATTCTTTGTATTGGTACTTTAAAATCGCCGATTCAGCACCAAATACAAAGCTCAAATCATATATACTCGATTCAGTTGGATTGAATATACACGATTCAGTTGAGTGATATCGCGGGATTCATTGACACCATTGGCATTATTCAAAAGACTGGGCTGCAAGTAAAAATCAATTGTCCATCTGTTTAGCAGGTCTACACGATCTAGATCAAAAGCACAACAAAAGCAGCGTGTGGGATTGTAACGATGAACTTCATGCACCCACCAATAATCCTGCCCGGTGAGGAAAACATCAATGCGTACAAGGGCATGAAGAAAATGAACAGACCACATATTAAGGATGGAAGAAGAAAGAGGTTGGTGTACTAAACATCATCGATTCACCTTAAAGTATAGTTGATTCACTTCATTGAATCCAAGATTCACTAAAGTAAACATAGTTGCTGGTATAAATATCTTTAAATTTATTGTTGTATTCAATGATGATAATTTTCATATATTATATTATATTCCTTACTGAAGAAGGTTGTGAAAAGAAAATATGATGACTACAACAGTGACGATGACTAGCGTCGAAACCACCAAATAATGCCCTGCGGCGAGGAAACACTCAAAGCGTAGGAGGAATGAAGAAAATGAACAAACCACAAAAGAAGGAAGAAGATGAAAAAGGTTGGTGTACTAAACATCTTATGTTTTTTGGTATTAACTGATGATAAATTCGATCTAATTAATGTTTTTTTTCTCATCTGTAGATATTTGTTAAAAAAAAATGTGAGAGCTGAAGCTAAGGACGTTTGACTAGGATTACGCGTGTCTGCTTCCCAAAGTATATTCTCTGTATGGGTTTTGACACTCTCTGACTCAACAGAAAAGAATGGGTTAGACTTGCTGGTTTTGGAGGTCTTTTAAATTTGGATTAAAGCGAAGCTGGCGCTCATATGTTGGGTACAGATTTCTGCAATCGTTTGACAGTGAATCGTTGGCGCTATCTACGCCAGAGGATCAATAAGTATCACAGAGGAAGAGTACGACATAGATATGGATGTACGCTCCTGGCGATGAGGTTATATCCAGACTCCAGTACTGGGAAGTCATCATTGGGTGATGCTTTGGAGGATCAATCAAGAGACAGATATGGATTGGAATGATTAGTACCCAGGGGCTTGTGGCATGACATAGTATCGAAGCCAGACTCTATGTTGAACCTCTTTTCAAACTGAATTGTTTGGTTTCTCGTCACAACATGCATGACCAGTCGTTAGCAATCCGTATGTCAACCAACGCGGATTCTACGTGAGCTTCTGTGGAAAATGTGATCAGGCTCTGTTCATAACAATTGGTGTTCTTTTTTGATTGACTCTATGATAAGAATCGCAACAGCAAAGGGACAAGTTGACCTCGAGCAAAACAATTCTACACGTGGTCGCTGCTTGTATTCCTGTGATTGTAAGTTCATTTTATACATTATTGCATTTATTTTTTAACAAATTACTGTAGTTAAAGTAGTTTTACTGAGTAATAGCTAATTGGTATGCTTAATTTCTTATCTCGCGTCTTTCTAGCTGTTCTATGCCGATCGGGTCTGTTCAATAGGGAGCAAGATGTTGAGAGAACAACCCCTACTTTTATAGGCTGGACTGACTGGGCCTTGAAGCGGAAAAGACAGTCAGAAGGAAATTAGTAGCAAATTCATTGGCCAAAGGTGCAATTACAGAGAGCGGTGAACTTGCAAGCCTTTCATCCTTCCGACTGGAAACTACCTAAAAGTGTTGATACAATTAGAGGTAAGGTTAGCCAATTAAGTTGCAAGTCTTTGTTTCACCCCCCCCCCCTTCCCTCGCCCCTCCCCGCTCCTATTTAATCTGCAAATACAGTAAGGAGCTGAATCTCTATTCACTTTAGCAACTGAATTTCAATTTATTGGTGTCGCGATTTCAGTAGGAGGAATTTCGATTGAATGAAAGTTCAAAATCAATGTTCACGTATGGAATCGCGGATTCAATACCGACTGAATCCGATAATCGACTCGACTAAATTGTTTATTCAATTTAATCACAATACAGTAGGACGTGAATCTCTATTCACTTAAACTTAATTTCAATTATTGAGTGAATCGCGATTCAGTAGGAGTGAATGTCGATTGAATGAAAATTCAATATCAATTTTACTGTAGCTGAATCGCGAATCGGCCGATTCACTAAAACGACTGAATCTCGATTCACTCTATGACTGAATCGCCCGATTCACATACGACTGAATTCCGATTCACCAATAGTCAACTGAAACTATTTTTAGTCGACTAATGGATTCAGTCATTTGAATCAATGATACAAATACATTGATTGTAATCTCAATCTATTTCAAACATTGGTCTCAAACCATGTTTATAATTTTTTTTGTTATGGTGACCACATGTCTGTGAATTTTCAAACTACAGGATTTATGATAGGTCAACGGAGAGCCTGCGATGCAGAAATCTAAAGAAAATTATGATGCTAGTGGAACAATGAGAAAGCTGTTCCCCATGATAATGAGGCTTTGCAATAATTCAACAAAGAGTTTTAAAATGTTCTTGTGCAGGGTGGTGGACATCGTGTAAGTACCTGTAACGATGAAAAGCTGAGTAGAAAACATTGTTGATGATACACCTAACATCGAACACAAATGTGAGTAGAGATATGCAATGCTTGCCCCTGCTGTTGATCCAACATCGTCTGGAGATTTCACAAACCCAGTCTCCCAAATTTTATTCAAGGAACGTTTGATAAGATTGATAGAGACTGCTAGCAAGAAAAGTCGATGAAAGACCAGTGAAGCGGAAGCTGACAGCCCGAATGTGGTACCCCACAGACTGAAGAACCTAGTTTTTCTCTTGACTAACACAGGATATGAGAATGGACAGTGGAAATGCGAGATATTGTTCATGGTGCTAACAAGTGAATTCTGAAGTCCACTGCATGCACGCCTGCTAAAAAGAAACTGATAAACAAGTTGAAGATGCTGCTGCAGTAGATGAATGTAAACATAAAGAAAGTGAGGTGGGGGACCGAAAATAGCGGGAGATGGGGAAGGAGCGAAAGAAAAGAGGATGGTGAAGGGCCTGCAACGTCTCTTCGCGTCACCATGGCGTGCAGAGGGTATCTGCATTACTGCTGAGGCAAAGTCAGCTGGAAAGCATCATTATGGAATTGCGGTACATAGAGAAAAGCCAAGGCATTCAGCTGATGATTCTGATGGAAGAAGCAGGATTTGTGAGTTCTTAAATCTATGAATCTATTTTATTTTTTATGTTCAGACTCACTGTTTTTTAGTATTTACTCTCCTCTTTATTAAATTGAATATTGTTACTTATTTTCAGTGAAGTAGTGGTTTTATATAGTGGAGACAAAATTGAATTGTTTCTTACTGGCTTTCAAGACTTTCCTTTCCTGATGAGACATTGAGGCAAATTTTAATGCAGGCATTTGCGTCCATTTATTTTGAACAACAAGAGAAAAAATGAAGTCGGAAAACTCTCCTCTTAAGCATTCTTGCTGCAATGTGTAGACAACCGTAAGTATCTTCCTTTATTCTTTTTAAAATACAAAATTCAGTTTAGCATCTTATTATACAAGTTTTATGTTGGCTACAGTTTTGCAACATTCATCACACAGATGAGGCAATGATGAATATGCAATACAGTCGTTTTGCTTCCCGGATGGATGAGCCAACTGCCTCTGGTATCCATATATGAAGTTTAAATGAGATTGCATATGGTACAGATTCGAAGATAAATATTTTTCTTCTTTAAGCCAATTTACTATATCTTGTTAAATCTCTGATTAAATTCCAAAACCATTAGGTCTTCTTCCCATAAATGCGTTTGAGCATTTCTACATTGTGTGCTATCGCGGCTAAAGAAATCCAAGTATGGCAGCCTGATTGACAATAGCAAAAAGCTGCCCCAGACTACAAGGAAAAATACCAAGGTCGTCCATGACGGGCTTTGGTATTCGTGTTTCCCCCACCCTTTTGTTAATGTACTTTTAAAACATTTACTGGGCGAATACAGTAATACATGAATCTGCATTTACTAAATTGAAGCGGGATTCACTATAGTTGAAAGCAGATTCACGTCCAGTGAAAGCAGATTCACTCTTAGTGAATGCCAGAATTCACTACTGTGAATCCAGATCACTCCAGTGGAATCCGATTCACTCCAGTGAATCCAGATTCACTCCAGTGAATACAGATTCACTAATGTGGATCCCGATTCACTACTGTGAATCCGCGATATCACTACTGTGAATCCCGATTAACTTCTGTGAATCCCGATTCCGACTTACACTCGTGAATCCAGATTCACTACTGTGAATCCAGATTCACATATGTGAATCCAGATCACTTTAGTGAATGCCAGATTCACTTAGTGAATCCAGATTCACTTTAGTGAATCCAGATTCACTATTGTGAATCCAGATTGCACTATAGTGAATCCAGATTCACTAAAGTGAATCCAGATCCAATTTAGTGAATCCTGAAATCACTATAGTGAATCACTGATTAACTAGCGTACGAGAAATCAAGATTCAGTAGAGTTAGACAGTTTGAACTAACTCTATTAAATCCTATCGAGTTAGATCCAATGATCGTGATTCACTGCAATGGATACTGTTCCATATAAACAACCAAAACAATTTGCTATATTACATTAAACATTATTCTACTATAATAATTTGGATTTGTAATGTGACACGATTACTTTTGATTAAACAGCACCAGAATTTTGTGAGATATTTGGCAGACAAGAAACATCAACAAGCGAGTGCAAATAATTACATTAACGCCTGACCAGAACTTTGAGATGGAGTGGAGAACGACCAAAAAATACATATGATTGTGGTATTTTGTCATGAGACATATGGAGACTACATGGGCGATTGGTACAGCAAATTGGAAGCTTCTGGTTTTTCATAGAGAGGCGTGTAAGTGTTAAAACTAAAAAATGTGTGATAATTTACAGTTAATCTTCATTACTTAACTGTTGTTCATATCGACAGGAGCGATTAAAAATCACAGCTACATAGACTGAGGTATATATACTGTTGCCAAATTCTTAACTGAAGCCCACCAAATGAATTGGCCAAAGAAGTAATTAGCAAGCCCAACAGCACCATGCTGAGACTGGAAATATCAAAAGAGAAGAGGAAGACCACAAGATGATCTCAAAGAAAATGATAATCTGTAATCACCATAATTTACAATGTGAAGTTTAAAGTTATTGAGTACATTGTCACTATCTGTTATTTCTAGATTTGTCATAATTTTCAATGTTGAAGTTTACAGTTATTGAGTACTATTATAAGAATAGATTTTGTCATAATTTCGATTTCAGGGCAAGAGATTGGGAGATATAATCCAATTTTTTATGTAACATACAATAAAATAAATCATACTTATTGTGGATTGTATGTATTTAATCTGGAATAACTGTTTGGCCATTATCTTAAAGTTGAATCTACTCGATTCAAATGAGTGGATCGAGATTCACTGGGTGAATCTTCTCGATTTAGTGAGTGAATCGCGATTCACTGGGTGAATCGACTCGATTCAGTTTTAAAACCCTCACTTTCCTAACTGAATCGAGTAGATTCACCCAGTGAAATCGCTATTTGAGTAAATCTCATCTCAAATTCGAGTAGATTCAGCCCAGTGAATCGCTATTTGAGTAGATTCACGTGGAATTCACATGCTATATGAGTAAATCTCAATCTCAATTCAATTTAAAACCCTCACTTTCCTAACTGAATCGAGTAGATTCTCACCAGTGAATCGCTATTTACATAACTGAATCGAGACGATTCACCCAGTGAATCGCTATTTACAAAACTGGAATCGAGTCGAATCAACCAGATGACTTGGATCCTCACTAAATTAAGTTGGATATAAAGACTACAACAGTATAGATACAATAACTATATGTAATTTTATAAAAAAAAAAACACAAGCATGATTATTATATTAAAAAGGTCAATTATTATAATTTTAAACAAAAAGTTGAAACGTCATTTCAAATTTTAGAGATATATTTTAAATTTTTTTTACAAATTTACAATTACTTTATAAAGGAGTTTTTTTTGAAAAAGACCACTTTTAATATATTTAATTAGCAATATGAATAATAAAAATATTTAAATTAGCAAAACCAATCGACGTTTAGCCATGTAAGCACACCTGATTGAAAGTTAGTCAGTTTTGCAAAAAAATGTCCTTGAGAGATACGCGACTACTAATCCCAATGTAATTAGTTGAACATAATCCTCGCATGTTGGTATGGAGAGTCGCACTAATTCATTCACCCTCGCGCTTCTTGCCCTCACCCATCTCTAAGTCTTGATTTGATAGGGTTTTTTAGGAGTGAAATGGAGGTGCAATGAGGTGGAGGCATTGGCATATTTTTAAGCCTTTAGGTTTGACTGAAAGGGATGAGAGGGGAGGTGATTTATTTTATAGTTCAGTTTCTCTCTCCGATTTTGTGCTACTAATTTAATTAGTATTTAGACCCGTGCAAAGCACGGTTTCTAGAAGATTTTCTGCAAATACTTAACGTGTTACCAAAATAAAGAATTCTGCTTTAAATATGAAGTATAGTCGTGGAAGTGAACTGGATAATTAATAAACAGTTCGGTTATTATTCATCTAGATATTCGATCAAGTTTAATTCAATAGTTCATTTAGTACTAACCAAATAATGTTTAGTGTTTGGCTCATAAATGAATAGAATTTGACCAAAGGTATATTCGATTCAAAGCTTGTGAAAATTTCTAAAATTTAAGAGTTGTCATTCCATCCATTTTGACTTTTTTTTTGTTTATTCTTATGTAGTCTTTAACATAAAATCATTCTATAACAACATCTAGATGTTCATGATGGTAGAGAGGAACCCGAAGAGTCATATCTAAACTTCTTCAGATGTTTGTTGTAATGCGTAAAACTTAACTTATTAATCACAGTGTTAAATTCAAAAATCCCATGAAAAAACCTAGATTTTGCGATAGGTGATGAGGCAAACTCATGTTACTCACCCTCTTCATTTAGATCTCTCTGCTGAACTCTTTCTATAAGAGAAGATAATGGTACAAAGATGTGTTATATCAACATGGAAGAACATGAAAGTTAGCAAGTCTACTCCCTTTCTTTTCAAGAAGTAAAAACTCTGAATTCAGTGATCTCAAAATCCTCAAAGTTAGCAAGTCTACTCCCTTTCTTTTCAAGAAGTAAAAACTCTGAATTCAGTGATCTCAAAATCCTCTTCTCTTATCTTTCGAGCATTGTACTTTTCAAGAAGTAAAAACTCTGAATTCAGTGATCTCAAAATCCTCTTCTCTTATCTTTCGAGCATTGTACATCCAGAAATAAAAGGCTCAAACTCAATAAATTATTAAAATTGAGAAAGCCCATTCAAGTTGGGACCTATAAGAGTTACAAAACTAATATAATTAGAAAGTTTCACCCTAAAAATTAAATCCACATAAATGAATAAAAAGCCCAAGTACCCAAAATCAAACTGAAATATGAAGTTTAAGCAAGTACAATAGGTTTCTTAAGATATTTACTCCATTGAATTAATCCCTCAAATCAGTGAAATTCCATTAGGTCCCCAAATTCTGATCTCTTGCTAATGGTACTCTTGGCTGGGTGGATAAATTTTAAATGAATTATAAGAATAAGTGCACCTAATATCAATTTCACCGATTTGGGCGACTAATTCCAAAGTACCAAATATTTAACGGACTAATATTTGAAAAAAGAACAAACTACGAAGAGATCAAATCAAAATCGAATCGGATCGCATCGGATCATAAGAGATCGCAAACCTTGCTTATGGCCGGCACCTTTGTCGACGGTGTGACACTGAGCGCACTTGGTCTTGGAAATTTTCTCTCCAGCCTTGGGATCGCCAGCGCGAGCATCAACAAACGTCGCCCTTAGAGATTAGAGAGAGCACTTCTAAGATCTAGGGTTAGGGTTTCCTCCTCTTCTAAGACATAAAAAACTATTTGAAATGCTCTACAATCTCATTGAAGAAAAAGAAGGCAAATCTCACTAAAGAAAGATAAGGAAAAATAGGGAATGTGGGAGAGGGAGAGAGAGAGAGAGAGAGAGAGAGAGAGAGAGAGAGAGAGAGAGAGAGAACATGGGGGTGGTTATGAGGTGGGGTGGGGGTGGGGTGGTTTTCCGAAAAATAATAGGAAGAGGTAGTTTGTAGAGGGTGGGAAGTTTTATTTGTATATACTAGTATGGTGCACGCGCGTTGCACGTGTATTTAATTTTACGTTTAATTTTTGTGATGATACTTTTTGTGTGTGTGAACTATCCTTTG